TCTCTCCTTTCCCAGCTGCACAGGCACTGGAGTTCGGATCCCGGGCAGGAAAGCCAGATTTGAATATCCTTTTACTTCAGGGAGGAAGTCAGGCTGGGCGGCGGTTGCTATAAAGATGCCTGAAGGGGAATCTGTGAAGATGAGTCTGGATTGGAGCCAGGGGTTGAGTAGCCATACAAACACTGGATATTTTTCTCTAACCTTGAGCTTCTATGACTCCTGAACTCAGAGTGCAGATGTCTCCCTCTCTCACGCTCTCACTGTGGGGAGGTATGCATGTCCCAGATAAGCACAAGGCAGGGCCAGCAGCAGCAGCTTGACATGAGCCAGTCTGGTGGGGTTAGAAGTATTTTGCTAGCAATGGTTGATGAAAAGAAGACGAAGCTATGAGGGACTAGAGCAGCTGAGGAGAGGGAAGATGAGCAGATCAGATTTGCAGACCTTCTAGTGTCACTAAAGACTTCCAGACATCTCTGGAATGGGACTTCAGCAAGCGTGACTTTCTGTATTCAAATGAAATAGAGGTTCAAGCCATCAAGACCAAGTAAGACATCAGAGATGGGCCTCACATGCGCCTAGTACATTCTATGTTAAACATAGTGCTGCTAGGGTGAACATTTTAGCAGATAGAAGCAAAAGTCACTTACAGACACAAGACTGTGCTTCTGAAAGAGCCTGTAGCTCAGGGCTTATATTCAGTTCTACTCTAGGAGGCTGCTTCTGGCCAGAAGTGAATGAATAATGAAGGTACCCTTGTCTAATGTCCACCAGCTACAAGCCCAATGACCACGACTCTTGGGGGATTGGGAGCTATGTGACTTCTGCTAGGAGACAAAGGATGGAGAGTGAGACATCAGAGGGAGATCAGAGTAGCCTCCTCAAGGACATCAAGTGCACACCTTTAATTCCAGCACTCAGGAGGCAGAGGCAGGTAGGTCTCTGTGAGTTTGAAGCCAGCCTGGTCTACAGAGCGAGCTCTACTCAGGACTATATGGAGAGAGACCCTGTCTTAAAACAAAAAACAAAACAAAACAACCCCACCCAAAAAAAAAAAACGGGAGGAGGAGGAGGAGGAGGAGGAAAAGAAGAAGAAGAAGAAGAAGAAGAAGAAGAAGAAGAAGAAGAAGAAGAAGAAGAAGAAGAAGAAGAAGA